ACTGTGTACAAAGCCCTGTGATAGGCCTGAATGACACGGAGGTAAAGGGGTTGGAAAGAACCAGGTCTTCAGAAGGCTTCAGGCCTTATGGGGAAATGGAGACAAGCAAATTCCAGAGCTGCTGCATCAATGCATATGCACTCCCCAAACTCAAGGAAAGGAGTTCAGGCAGTCTGGTCCTCAGATGAAGAAGTGTCCTAGCAGCAGAAAGAGCACACACAAAGGCTTACAAGTAAGAGGGCTCAGCATTCTGAGAAGTCTAGTGTGGTTGAATTGATGTTCATAGAGCACAAACTGGAGAAGGTATGAGAAGAATCTAGAAAGGTGCATAGGAGCCAGATCTCAAGGACCCTTGAAGCCACATTAAGGAATTCAGAGTTTATCCTGAAGGCAGTAGGAAGCTGCCAAGGGGTTTTAAACTGAGAAATAGCAGCAGTCATATTTGAATTTTAGAAATATCACCCTGATTTCAATGGCAAGATGGATTGGGAGGAAAAACAGGAAAGTAGACTAGCTAAGAGTTTATCTTCTAGTGAAAGTGCCCTAAATTGGAAGAGTACAGTGGGGAAAAAAAGAAATGGACAAACTCAGAAGTTATCTAGAATGAACAGTGGACATGTATTTTTCTCATACCCTTCCCACCCTGTGGACTTTACAGCCAGTACCTGAAGAGATCAGCCTCCCTGAGCCAGATGTCCCACCCAGCTGGGCTTACTCCAGGGCTGTGAGGGTATCCCCGCATCTGAAGAGGCAGCCTCACCGACTTCACCCCCCTCATGCTGATCTTCCCTGCAGGGGCCAAAGCCCCAGCTTTTGAAAGAGTCTGGCTTACTGGAAGAGTCTGTCCCCCTAAGAAACTTCTGGTGCCTCTGGTTCTTCTGCACCATACCCCTGACTCCCAATAGTTACGGTGAACTTATAATTCGTTGTCCAAACCTGAGAAAAGAGGGATCACTACTGGTAAGTATATGAGGATAATAGGCATTAACTTAGACTGGCCCAGACAAATTGGGATGTATGGCCACCCAACTGAGAGCATGAGAGCCATGTATGGAACTGACGCCATGAGTCAAAAGCAGTGCCCAGAGGGGAGTTTCCAGCCCCTAAATTATCTCTCTATATAAAATAATCTTGGACTTTGAAGCAGACCTGGGTTCAAATCCTAACTTAGCCACTTACTGATCCTCTCTGAACTTAATTTCCTCATCTAAAAAAATATAAATAATTATAGCTATCTCATCAGAAATTTGGGATGATTTTACAAGAGGATATTTAAAAATGGACTATTTATTTCTACCTTTCAACTGAGGCCCCAGGACAATGTGGGCCAACTATTCCCACATTCCGCTGTCAAATATTAGAAGGACTCCTGCACAAGAAGGGAGTGAAAATCATTTCTGCAACCTGTAGCTGAAGGCCCACCTCAAAGGTCTAAGAGTTGAGGCAGGGAATGGCTGGTGTCAGCATGTCAGGGGGGCTCAGCTCTCCCCTCGGGGGAAGGGTGGACATGCTTCCTTCCCAGAGTAAATGACCACTAGCAGACTTGGATGGGTGTCTGCAGAGACTGGAGTCACAGGGGCTGGTGTCCGACACTCATGTGAATAATGTAAGGGTGTGTGATGAGGAAAGAAGGAATGTGTCTTCCTGGGGGCAAAGACATATACCCCAGGAAGGGAGAGCCAGCTTGGATCATTACAAATCCTGGAAACGATTGTCTGGAGATGACTTCACCATGGAGGGTAAAGTCCAGATGACCAGAGGCTGGAGCATGAAAATTAAAGACTAGAGGGAGTGAAGAGAATGCACCAACTGCACCTGCAAAGTTAGTCACGTGTTCCCAGCAGGGCCTCTCAGAGCCCCCATTAGAGAGAGCCAGCTTTGGACATCTGCCCAGCCAGAAGAATCACATCTGATTATACCTCTTCTCCTTCCACCCACCACCACCTGCGGTCAGAAGCCTCAGCCCTGAATTATTCATTAATTCATTTGAGTATAACAATAAGAAACAATCATTACAAATAACATTTTTATGACATATAACTTTATTTTCCAAAACAAACAAAAAAACAAGTTAGAAGAGTAGTTTTCTTTTCCATTGTTGTGAATCTCTTTGATATCTGGCTAAAGACAGCTGGATCTCCATACCTTCTTCCCTCTTCAGTCTGTTTTAATGTACATATAGGTAGCCTCTTAAAAACTACATTGTACCCTCATGAGTGAAATAAAAAGGCAAATGAAAAAGACAAATCGAGTCTTAGAATTATGATGAGAATAGTGATCTCATAAACTCTCTGTGAGGGTCTCAAAGATCTCCAGGGGTCCCCAGACCCTATTTTGAGAACCACTGTCACAGAATTTTCCTTTGCCTTTAATGTCCAAACTCTGAGGATTCACAAAAGAAAGATGTGGTTGTGGAGTACCACAGTGTAGTTTCCAAAATTGTTTACATCTAGAAATGCCAGAAAAGAGGTACTCTAAGATAGAATGTTTTAGGGCAAAATAGGAAGCCATCAGCATAGGGTGGACTAGCCTCTCAACCCAAGAGTTCCAGAGCATATGTGAGGTTCCCCAAGAGAGTGTCCACTGAGAATGCTCCCTCTGCCAGGCTGTGTGTCCGCAGTCCTCCCTCTGCCCATGGGATCTTCTATTTGAGAGCCTTTTAGTAACCACAAGGGAAGAGAACCCCCAACCTTTTGGCTAATTCAGCAGGTGGAACCCCTTTTAAACTGGTTTTCTAGTCAGTGTCAGAGTCAACATTTAGCAGGGACCAATCAGGAAAATAAAAGCATTCCAACAGAGGGGATTTAATACAGGAGATTGACTACACAGGGTAGGATTTAATACAAGCAACTGATTACACAGGTGTTAGAACTAAAAGGGAGTTTCTGAAGAGATTAATCATTGCTGACGCTAGGGCTAGGGAACAAAAAGGAAGATGGGTTTTATCGGCAGCTAGAGCAAGGGGTGTGGCTGATGCTTGAACCTTGGCAGAGCCGGTACTGACTGCCAGGGCGCACAGACCAGCTGCTACTGGAACCACTGTGGGATGTGGAAATGAGCCAGAAGTAGCAAAGGAGGCAGGAGGCTGAAGGCTGCTGGAGGCTGCTGACCTCCGCTGGAACTCAGAAAATTGTTCCTCTCCTCCCACGTGCCCCTCTCCCACCTGCTCCTCCATTGGCTGGGGGACGCAGAGGGGCCTGGGAAGTCCACGCCCCTTCTGTGGAGCCGAGACCGAGCCCAGAGGCAATCAGTGGAATGGGAGGCCTGGCGGGCTGTCAGCACTGTCTTGGCCCATTAGAGCCTCATCCCTTTATGTCCTTTTACCCTGGGACCTGTCTCACCCCTAGAGTGCCCCCCCCCCCCGCCCAAGGCTGCTGCAACCTGTAGCAAATGCCAAATTATTCCCTTCTCAACTGCCTTTGAGGAAGCCCTCCTAAAATGACCAGAAGAGGGCGAACTCCCAGGAATCATCTTTTAAAAATGAAGCCTCTGGACCTTTCTCTGAGGGGTTTGGTGACAGAGGTTCTGAATTTGGATTCTGTAGCACTGACTGTGACACTAGGGAGTACCCAGTGGCCCCTGACCCCACCTTGCAATCCCTCCACAAACTCTGGTTCCACGTAGCAACCGTAGTAAACACCCGGCTGCGGGGGCCTCACTCTGGGGCTGACCGTGGGAAGAGGTACGGTCAACGGTCAAGAGACCCTTCAGGACCCCGCAGCGTGTTTGGTGCTCTGCATTTGCTGTCCCAAGTCATCCGTCATGTCGTCTGGAAAGAGCCGGGAGTGCCGAAGAAAATCAATGATTCGTGGTTTCATAATAGGCCATTCTGCCCTTTATGAGAATACTCAACATTTCTTGGCCTTTGTCTCCCTATAAAGCAGAAAACACTTCTGCAAATGCATCACCCCAACCCGACTGCACCTATGGAAAAGGACTCCACAGTCTTGGGTGTCATTCCTGCCGCAGCCTCTTCCTCTCTCCCCTTCTTGCCCCCCGCTCGTTAAGCAGTGTGGCACCCGGGAGGCCTGTTTACAGCTAATTAGATTAGGAGTGTGTTCATCTGGAAAGATATTTGTAGTTCAATAAAGAGAGTGTGAAGAATCACCCTCCTGGTTCCACAGAAACAAAGGTTCTGAGCCTCATTCCGCTGGGGGCAGAGAAAGGTTTTTGCCCCCTCCCTCCTTAAACAAGCCTCGCTTCTCTCCAAGATATACGTAGTCCTTAGACTCAGAATGAGCTTCCCAAGCCACAGGAAAGATCTCAGCTTCGAAAGATTGCAAAGCAAAACAACGAGCAAATTTGAAAACACTTTCATGCGGGTTTTTTTTTTTCTTTCAAAGGAAAAACAATCACTGCTTGAGATGTTTTGTTGAGAAAGAAAAAGAGGCAGAGAGATCATCAAGGCCAGCGATAGACGCTGCCCTCCTGCCTCTTCCCCATCTGTTCGAAAATTATTTCCAAAATATTAAATGCTGCATTTCACTGAACCAGAACTGCATGACGCGTTGGGGCTGGGGGAGAGAGGAGGCAGACGAGATTCTGAAATATAATTTCCCAAATGTTTATCTTGCTAGCAAAGGCTGCTGCCTGTACTATAATAAAATCTTAGCATGACCCCCATTAGGCTGTTGTCTGTAGGGTAAGTAGGCACAGATTGAATTTCGTACTGTGTCAAGGACAAAATGAATCCTTAGTCTGGCTGCAGAAAACGCATATTCACCCAAGAGAACAGCGGCTCCAGTCTTTCAAGCCCACATGTGCTTCATTCTTTTCTTTGAGATGAGTGTACAGATCAAGTTTGGCTGCCCTTTATTAGCCTCCAGACAGCCAGAATAGTATCAAAGCTCGCACCCTGGCTCTCCCTAACCTGCCCACTTCCCGCTTTCTGGATTTAACAATGAGCATAAAGCTTCCATCAAGCGTAAAGACTGATTTTCATGGTGCATGTAAAATATGAAAATCCTACCTTGGCTAACTTCATGCCGGCTCCAGAAATATTTAAGGGTTAGAGTACTTTATTATTGTTTTTCCAGACGAGGAAAGGTCGTAGTTCAGTAAAATTGGGCAAAATTACATTTTCTGCTCCTCGGACGTCTTGTGGGCTGGCAGATTAAGGATGCGAAGCGGTGAGAAGAGAAGCCTCAATCCTAGTTACTTCTCATTTGTTCGGTCAGAAAAAGAGAGTTATGTTCATGTCGGTGAATCCTTTCCTCCAGTGGCTATCAGGTCACAAGAGACAGAATATTCTTCAATTCCCATTCCCTGTTCATGGGTACAGGACAGCCAGGCTGTTGCTTTGAGGCCTGATCAATGTAAAGCCCTTTCCTTCCTGCTCAAGGTGCGCCTGTGGGTCTCTTACCTGCCAGCAAAGTAGGGTGTTCTTGCAGGCTCATTCTTCCGACAACGTTTGTGATCTTAGCCCTCACTAGCTTCTGCAAGAATTAAAAAGCCAAACACTCATTGTTATGAAAAACTACAAGAGGAAATTATTTGAAGCTCCATACTTCTGAAGAGCATTTATAATTAGCCAGCCCACATGCCTGCTCTCCCAGCACATGAGATGGAGATTTCCTCAGAAAGGCAGCATGAGTCCATAAGCACTGTACGAGCCAGCGTGCTGCTAAGACTCAATGCAATCTCTTACCCTCTAGTTAATTATATTTACCACTTTGCTTAGCTCTCCCTCAAGCTCCTCAACCGTGAAATGGGTCTCAGGGAACTAACTCATCACAGGAAAAACATCTAGAATCTTGAATCAGTGGGGATGTGGAAAGAGGAAAATTCTGGCATTTAGAAATAATTTGGGATGTTGGAATTGATTGCTACACCCCATTCATTCATTAGCTCATTCAGCTAATTCCCTCCATGCCACTCCTTGGGGTAATAAGAATAGAGATTGCCCAGCCCAGCCCTTGCCAAATGCTGGGTTTCGGAATGATTTCCTGGGGATTTTCTACTCAAGGTATTGGCTGGCAGATTGGTCAGAGATGTGAGCTAAACCATAAGTCCTAGAGGAAAATCAAGGCAAGCATTCTGAAATACAAGATCCAAAGAGTCCAGGTGGATTAAGGACAGCAACACTGAGCCAAGAATTTAAAGACTGATTGCTAAAGAACCCAAAGGAAAATAGATCAATAAGGAGCAAAGAGGTCATGTTCTCATGTTGGTAACATAGTTGTGAACCAGCAAGTAGAGCAGGTAGAAGGGTAGAGCCTTCCTTAAAAGACTAGTTATTAATCAAGCAGGGTATAGGCTCAGCTGCTGTAATGAAGAATCCCAAAATTCAGTGACTTAAGATGCAAATATGTTTTCCTTTCATATAATAATCCAGAGAGAAGCAGTCCAGGGCTGACAAGACAGTCAGACCATCCTCAACATGCAGCTTCCACCTCTGAGTCCAAGGGAGTTGCTCCTGCTTTTGCCACCTCCCTCCTGTAGGATAGAAAAAGGGCCCAGTGAGGACACACACATCCCCTGGGAGAATCTGATTCAGAGGTGGCACACATTACTCTCTCACACACCTCACTGTGCAGAACCTAATCCCATGGCCATACCAGGATCCATCAGAGGCTGGGAAGTATAGTCAGTCCCTGGCTGGGCAGCCATGTGCCCAAAGAACACTGTGGGAGTTCTACTATTAAAGGCAGAGAAAAGAGATGAGGGTGGACCATTGGGTCCCTAGACATGAAAAGGAGTCTCTAGCCTCAAGGAGCTTAAAGTCTACTTGGGAAGATAGACAAGTAAACTCTTGTCTTACAACATTAAGCAAATGTTACCATGTGTTTACCAAATGCCAGGCATTATACTTAGCATTATCTCCTTTCATACTGAAATGACTCCATTATTATGTATATTTTATAGATGAAGAAATGAAGACTTAGAGAGGTTAACTAACCCAAGATAATGCAGTTAAACATGGAGCACAGATACAAATCTGATTCTGTCAGACCCTAGAGCAGAAGTCAGCATATTATGGCCCTTGAACCTAATGTGGCCCTTCACTTTTTTTTTTTTTTGTAAATAAAGTTTTAATGAAACACAGCATGCCCATTCATTTACATATTGTCAGTGGCTGCTTTTCCACTACAATGGCAGTACTGCGTAGTCATAACAGAAACCAAATGGCCCACAAAACCTAAAATATTTACCATCTGCCCTTTACAGAAGAAGTTTGCCTACTCTGCCCTAGTGCTGGCATGTCAGGTGTAATTAGCTAGGCATGCGCAGGGTGTGATGAGAGCTGGAGGAGAGCGCCGCACAGAGGGAGGGTGGGCCAGTCTAGGAAGTCGGGATTTAGCTAACTAACCCTTGACCAATGAACAGCAATTGATCAGTAAAGACAGTGGAGTAGGACGAAGAGCGTGTGACAGGCCTGGAGGTCTGAGTGGCCCACAGGTATTTGAGTGGGGTGTGAGAAGAGGTTGGGGCAGTGGGTGGTGCAGTGTGGAGGGGGATATTGAATGGCTACAGTAGCTCGTAGAGCAGCATTTCCCAAACCTGGCCCATCATCGCAGCCATTTTGGGCACGTATTAAAAATAAGGATTCTAAGACTCCACCACAAATCTGCCCAAACAGGATCCATATCTTCAAGGAACTCCCCACAAGATTCTGGAATACACTGCTAACGATAGTAAGGGGAGAGTGAGAAGGCAGGGACACCGGCCAACAGCTGTAGCGGTAACCCAGGGCCGTCCGACGCGCACGCTGGAAGGCCAGAAGCAGCAAGGTTTGTGACAGCTGCTTGGTAGAAGGTGAAAGAGGGGAGAGGAAGCAAAGGAGATTGTTTTTTGTGAGTGAGATAGTGGGGAGTGACAGCCCAGTTCTGGCCTGGTCGTGAGGAGTCCCCGTGATGTCTTCTCCTGTTCTCCCCTCTATAGCCTGGCTATGGACTTTGGGCTTCTAGAGTCTAATGTTGGATGTTACCTCTCAAAAAGGGAGAACTACCCCATCCCAGACAAATGGAAGCCTGGTTGCTTCAGAAATGACCAAACCTTTACAAAATCAAATGGAGGTATCTGAAGGGGGGACTTTTATAATTTGATACGGATGCCCCATTGCCTGTTCCTGGCCCTTAGAAGAGTTATTTTTTCTGTTTGTTAAAGAATTTGTTTCAGTGGCTCCTTGAAAGAATTGAGTTGTGATCATTTCTGCATAACAGCGGGACACTTTAAACTCTTATTTTCTCAGTTTTATGAATTTGGGTACAGTTCTTCAATCAGTCTGGAAGTAATGATGGAAGGAATTGAATTCTGTGGAAGAAATCCAACTGCACGATGCATTTTCATTTGGTATGGGGCAGTTAGATAAATGCATCCCTCGACTCATTCATTGAATAAATAAATCATGGGGTTAGAGCTTAAATAATAAATAAAAGCAAAGGGGAAAGAAAGAGACTAAGAAGGGCTGACAAGGTGAAAAAATAGATAAATAAAAAGAGTTATATGCAGGCAAAATGATGAAAGATTGTTGCCTGCCATTCTGTCCTCTTTATATTTACTTTATATTTAATGTTTTTTTGACTATTTCTTCACTGCCCCATAAGGTGTTGGACTGGCGTAGGGTCAAAAATGAAATGCTATACCTTTTCCCTGAAAATTACTTATTTAGCGCTAGCTGAAGTCTAAATGTGCCTTCAATAGGCTTCATCCCAGGAGCTGAGCAGTTATTGTTACTGGTCATGACAACAGAGAGAGCAGTAGATAACTGGCATACTGGCTGTTTGTGTTTGTTTGAGGAAGACTTTGTTGGTCTTCCTTGTACATAATACGAATTCAGCCTTGGAATTTTGCATATGGTATTGCCAACACTTTAACTCTTTTTGCCCCTGTCCCTCTTTGCCTGGCTCCCTCTTAGTAACCTCACAGGACTCACATGGGATAACGTTTCTTTCAAGATTCCTTCCCTGGCCCCCACGCGTGGGATAGGTGTCCCTTCTATGACTCTGGACTTCCCTATCAATCCTGCTAACAGCTAACGTTCATTGAACACTGACAATTCTGAACTCTATGAATGGATTGTCCTTTCCAATCCTCTCAACCACCTGATGAGATAGGTACTATGATTAGTCCATTGTACAGACAGGGAAACTGAGATACAGAAGAGTTAAAGGTTACCCAGCTGGGAAGTCTTTATGTTCTAGCCTGTGAGTTCCACAAAGGAGTAACTTGTGGCTGCCTGGTATGATGGTCAACAGAGTGCCTGGCATGGGCTGGCATTGATGTGTTTCTCTCTGTCTCTCTCTCTTGTCTCTGACTCTCTCTCTCTCTCTCTCTGTGCTTCTCTCCTTCTCTGTCTCTCTTTCTCTGTATGTTTAATGAATTATAAGACCACAGGGACCTCAATAGGAGACTCACTTCACTGCATATGGGATTCTAAAGTTGATGAATCAAACTTGGAGTTAAATTGCATTCTTGAAGTTGTCTATATCAAAACATTAGCTTATGTGAATGATGCTGCCTGGCTGAGTTAAGTCTGAGACTGCAGAGGCAGAAAACAGATGATATACACTTTCTCCACTCTCCCAGATCTTCATCTGCCAGGCCGCAATGAAAGATAAACCTCCAGATCAGCAGTGTGCATTGTGCTCTGTGGCTGCCTTTCCTCAGCAGATGTGAGGACAGAACAGGCTCTGGGAATATGTGAGTGGGGTGTGTATGTACGTGTCTGTGTAGGGTCACATTTCAGTATGTATCCCAAAAATATTCATTCTATACTCCTAAGTTATGTATGGCTTCCATATAAGAGAAACAGAGAGGAAAAGATGGCGGCCACTCCTCAGTTATCTGTAGATTTCTGAATTTTCATCCAAAGCAGTATCCGAGATACCATCTATTCAGTAGACACCCAGGAAGCCTAATTTCCACAACTGGTAGACCCAGCTTAGCCAAGTTTGTGATTCCGTGAGATTTGGCAGCTTAGGGGAAAAGCAAGGACCAAATACAAATGGGTTACTGAAAGCCTATTTTTAGAACTCTGGCCTGCTCCAAGCCTCTCCCTTCCTAATCCCACCAGAATCCGGCTTCACATCCCAGCCCCCTACTACCAGCTCTGTGACCTTGGCAAGTCACCCAAACTCCCTCTGGGCTCTGTTTGCCATAGTTTTCCTGGGTCCCACACTGCCCAATTTCTGCCCAGAAAATACTCCTCTGTGACCCAGAACCAGTGACAGGAGGTGCCACCATAAAAGGGGCTTTTTCAGTATGTCTGAGTAGGTTGAGGCCTGGGTACTCATTCCTTTTTTGAGAGGTAGTGTCCAGCATCTGATACATGGTAGTTGCTCAAAAAGTGTTTGCAGAGGGGGCGGAACAAGATGGCGGAGGAGTAGGAGACCTGGATTTCATCTGGTCTCAGGAATTCAGCTGGAAAGGGATCAAACCATTCTGAACACCTACGAACTCAACAGGAGATCAAAGAAAAGAATAGCAACAACTCTCTGAACAGAACAGTGACCACTTTCTGGAAGGTAGAATGTGCAGAGAAGTGAATCCGAGGCGATATTCGGGAGGATAGACGGCGGGGGAGGGGGCCTCCGTCGGCCGCTTCTGGCAAGTGATAGAGCCGCGGAGCACAAAATCGGAACTTTTAGAAGCTGGCTCCGCTGAGGGACGTCGCTCCAGTGGCTAAGCGGGGGGTGGAACCCTCACGGGACAGTGTGGTCTCAGGACCCTCGGGGTCACAGAAAGACCGGGGGTGCCTGAGTGCGGCAGAGCTCCCAGGTATTGGGGCGGGGAAGCCGTCTGCAGAGACAGAGCCGAGGAGCGGGCTCTCAGCTTGGGCTTGCCATAAACTGTGATCGGCGACACAGTTGGGTCACTGCTCCTCCAGCAGGGACCCAACAAGCGGCAGAGGCGGGGAGACTCCCCTTCCTCCCCTGGAAGGAGCGGCGCCAGAGCACACCGCAGGGATCTGCTGGGTTTGGAGACTCCACACCGAGTTGGGTGCCAGAGATAGAAATGCTCAGTCACAGGCCGGGTGAGCACGGAGTGCGGCCGGAGACCGGGGAGACGGGAGTGATTGACTGCTTTTCTCTGGGGGTGCACTGA